AGGTGACCTGAGTTTTCAAGCATGCCTTCCACCATAAACTGATCAATACAGATGAGTGAGGAGAGGCACAGATAATGGGGAGGGGGCAGACAGGGGAACGGCCCTCGGACAGAATTACAGAAGATGAACTGAGAACAGTTTGGAGACATGGTGAATGCGCAGAATGTCACTGCCGGACTAGCCGAGAAAGCAGAATGCAGAGTTATGTGCCATCAAGCTGCACTGCACCTATAACAACCCTCCTAGAATTGTAGAAAGCAGAATGTATAGCTGTTATGTGCCATCAAGCTGTACTGCACCTATAACAACCCTCCTAGAATTGTCAAGGTATGTGACATAGTGAAGGAGTGCTTTTACCAGGGCCAACCCCCAGTAAGCTTCCATGGACAAATGGGGATTTGAACCCAGGTCTTCCAAGTCCCAGTCTGTCACACTATCCACTGAACCACCCTGGCTCTTGAGGCAAAGTGTACAAACATTAAATTGTAAAAATGGTGTGTGTGTGTGTGGATGGGGACTTGTGTAGATATTTCCTGTTTTTTCCCTAACCGGATGCAACACGCAGGCATGAAGGAGTTGTTCAGAGAGCTTGTCCAGCCGCTTCCTGTGTTGGCACCAGGCTGCACTCAATAGGAACAGAGAGTTAAATATGTTGAGAGGCTTAACATCTATGCTGTGCTCTGTATACGTGTGTGTATGTGTGTAGAGAAAGCGATGTGCAGTTAAGTGCTCCTAAGCATTAAATGATTAATTAATTATACCCTCTCTCTCTCTCTCTCTCTCTCTCTCTCTCTCTCTCTCAAGTGCTTTGGAGATGAAGTGTGCTATGTTAGAGCTATTAATAATGCTCCTGCATTTACAAAAGCTGGGGAATGGGGTATGGTACGTATGCCAAGGCAACGCAGGGGATTATAAATAAATGCAGCCTCTTCCCAGAGTGTCTAGACTCGTGGCGTGTAATTAGCCCACATATTTCATTATGAGTCAATATTTTGCTTTGAAAATCCACCTTCCGTTTAAGAAGGTGAGACAGGAGCTGTATTTTACCCACGGGGGCCACCATGGCATCAGAGCTGAGGGCATCCAGTGATCCTCCTTGCTCCCCCACTGGAGCCACTGGACTGGGTTTCAACCAAAAGGCAGCTTCAGTTTACCTCTCATTCTTTGGTCTCAAGAGCAGGACCTTCCCACTGGAAGACCCGTTCATGCTTGGCTGGATGGTATTCCTGCTTTTTTTCTGAGTGCGAGCCACTCGAGGGTGGGGGTGGAGGGGGGACTCGTGTCTTTCTGGTAAAGCAAAGCTTGGAAATGGTATGACACTCCAGATGCAACTCCCAGCCAGGCTAGTTAATGGCAGGGGATTTATGTGAGTAACAGTACAGCAACACAGGCAGGGCCTCAAGTGGCCAGCTTGAAAAAAGGAGTACAACACAGTCAGGGCCTCAAGTGGCCAGCTTGAAAAAAGCAAGCACCTCTGGAGGTGGGGGTGTTTAACCATTAAAACACACATACACACAGGCTAGAGTCCTCAGCAGTGATGCAGTGGCATCAAGGCTCATAGGACTGAAGCTGCAGGACCTTCTGAGTAGCAGGGCCTGGGGTATGATATGCCATACATCCCCAGGCTTCCCTGCTCCCTATTAGTTTAGCTGCAATCCTCATGTCAATTGCAAGAGAAATGAAATTTCCCAGGAACAGTATATTCTAGCATGCTCCCTCTGTTGTATGCAAGATATTTAAAGGTGGTTTGGTCTCGGATGGGAAGTTGGAAGCTATTAGCTTTATAAATTATGTGCTCCTCGTTTGTTTATACCCAGTTGCCTGCGCGTTGGACTTTTCCCGCCAGGAGTGGTTCCTGCACTTCCTAATTACCATTACGCTACTGCTCTTGAGATAATGTTAGACTGCTATTTCCATTATCCCTGAACAGCAGGGATTGGCAGTGGTTGGGAATCATGAGACTTGTAGTCCAATTTTAAGGTCTGGAAACAGCATCTTAAAAAGTGAAAAAAGACACAGAACAAAGCAGTTGTTGCATCTACGGAGGGTCTTTGTCCCCTCACAAGCATTTCATCCCCTCCAAAACATAAATGGCTGCTGCATGTTTGTCACCTAGGAGTGGGGTAACTAATCTGTCTCAACCATAGTTCAATGACACTTACAGTCCACAGGCTGTGAAGGACCTGCCAATTTATTTATAACTTACAAACTGCTTGACAGCCAGCTGGGCTGTATTTCTGTACCCAACTGTGCCTTGGTATGCAGCAAGGTGCTGAGAGGAAATGGGATCCCTTTACAACAGGGTGGGAGGACAGAGTGCTCCGGACAGTGAAAGGAGAGCTTCATGCATTTGACATGCCCCAGCTCCTCCCCCCCATTGCTTGCCACTCCCCAACATACCTGTCCCACCTCCAGCCTTCTTTGCAAGCTGTGATGTCAGTCTGAAGGTCTGAGGCAGCACAGCTCGTGCCTGCTCAGAGAGCCCAAAGGAGAGATAGTGGCCCTGGGCACCGGCGCTTCCTTCCCAAGTACTACCTTAATCTGTTGGGTCTTAGAACATCACATTCCACTATGGATGGGCAATCAAGGCTGGCCCAGAAAGGTGTCCCCCATCCCACCCCTGCCAATTCCATACATTTAAACTGACTGAAATAGTGGTTTATTCTTCAAGGGACTTGAACAATTATTGCAAACACTATGCATTAGGGATGCCTTTTTAAAAATGCAATTTCTTATCTGTTACTCAAGAACAACTAGCACCATTACTAAGTACAATTACACTTTAATTGTTTCTTTAAATCAAGACACAGTTAAAAAGCTTGCGCCATGTTCTCCAAAATAACAACATTACTCATTGCACCAAATGCTGAAACACATTGGTAGTGATTACATTACTTCCCAAAACAACAACACTGATGTCATGGGTGATGAGTAACATTATTACTTATAGAAGAGGTAGCTGTGTTAGTCTCTGCTGGTGGATCAGGCAAAAACAAAAGAGAAATAAAAAATAACAAAGACAAAATGTTGCGGTACTTTCAAAACTAACTGAAGCCCACTTCAGACATAAGAGTGGGACTCCATGAGAAATATTTATATATTTATACATGGGAGCATTGCCGGGAGACTGTATTTTTAAGTTACTTATAGAAGAGGTAGCTGCCTTAGTCTCTGCTGGTGGATCAGGCAAAAACAAAAGAGAAATAAAAAATAACAAAGACAAAATGTTGCGGTACTTTCAAAACTAACTGAAGCCCACTTCAGACATAAGAGTGGGACTCCATGAGAAATATTTATATATTTATACATGGGAGCATTGCCGGGAGACTGTATTTTTAATGAAGTAACTGGTTTTTTATTGGGCACAAGTTGCTGATGTTCCCAGACTACTTAGAGATATTCATCATTACCATGTTGTATCTACTTGTTATCTATAATCTGGGATAAATTTGGCCGCCATCATTGTTCACAGAACAATGCTTCCTGGGATGGGAACTGAGTATCAAGAGAGACCTTAAAGGACATTGCCAGGTGTAAATACCACACTATCACTCTCTGAAAAAGTGGACTTGTCCACAAAAGCTCACATTAAAGCAAAGCAGTTAGTCTTTAAAGTGTCACAATGCTTTTGCCTTCTCTATTTTTATTTTTCAAACTGCTTTTGCCTGATATTGCAATGTGTTACTTCTAACCTGTGATCTTTCTTTAACATTAGTGAAGGGGAAAGTCCCCCATGTCACATGTGAAGGCAGTTTACAGGATACAAGATGGTCCTCCTGACACACACATTCACACACCTCGATTGACTGTCATATTTCACAGGAACGCCAACCTAATAAAGAATGGTGTACATTGAAGTGAATTTTCTATAGAACAAGTGAATCACATATTTTGTACAAACTGTACTCGTCTCTGAAGTCTTTAATACTCCGATGAAAAGTCAGCGTCTCAATCTGTTTTCAGAATTTCAACGTCTATACAAGAGGCAAGCAGCTTCAGTGGGTCTCGCAGACACAGCTACAAACACCTCAATAGCCGCCACAAGAAATGAGATATTCAGATGTTGGATGAATGAGGGCCTGAGACGGACCCTCCTCAATGGTTTGAGAGAATGCAGGTGGGTGGTTTTGGAACCCCTACAGGCCAAATAGCACTGAGTAAAGCACATCGGCTGATGGAGATGGTGGAAGCCCATGTGGTCTGTACAACTGCCCCTCCCACAGAGAAGATAAACATGCACAATGGGAGATTTAAGCTAAGACATTCCTTCAAGACACAATCATTTTCTATGTACACTGGTCTTGAAATGGATGGGCTAGGGAGAGTATTGAAACAGTCATAATACCATGTCCCCCCCCAAAAAAAGACAGGGTCTTATATAAACTTTTGCTTCAAAAATGCATTGGGACTTATTTTCAGGGAGTGTTTTATTTTTTTTTCATGTAGAACAAGCTACATTTATTCAAATACAGCCATGTCATCTTCTTCTGGTTGCTGCACAATGGTGGAGGGCAGGGTTTCACTTAACTGGGGCTTTGGGGATAAGGCTTATATTACGAGCACCCTGAAAACTCATTCTAGGGCTTATTTTCAGGGAAACAGGGTATCAGGTTTATAATCCAAATGACATGGCAGATGAGGAAAAAAATAATCTGGAGACAAGAGGGGGAAAACATGTCTTTTTTTAAGCATGACTTAGCACATTGCAGAGAAGACAAGGGGAAACAGATGCAGTCATCATCATCATCATCTTAGAACTGCAAAACTGGAAAGGAGCCTATGGATCATTGGTCCAGCCCCTGCCAAAGAGAAACATAAAGGAATCGAACTCCCAGCCTCTTGTTACCCAGTTCGATACCGAAACCTTTAAGCTATCCAGCAGTGAGCAGTGTAAGCAGACAAAGCTAAATTGGTGAGATTTCTTCCTGTCCTTCCAGCATTCTCCTATAGGACTACAGTCCCTTCAACACCCTGTCTCAAGTCACATCACTGCCGTTTACAGAAATACATGTTGTCAAGTACACCACAAGTTAGAAAGAATGCAGAAACTTGGTCACAGACTCTGGAATGCAAGCATCATCGGAGTAGTTCTCCTTGTGCTCTTAGCTGATCAATCTGCTGACAGCTGTCACATACAGGGAAGTGCCTTCAAATGTGCTCCTCACTAGGGGTCTGAAACAGAACAGCCCAGGGACAATTTTACCCCGTGCAGCTTGTGTAGGCGACCCCCCCTTTTTTTTAAAAAAAAAATCTCACTTTCAATCCTTGGAGTGGGGCTGGTAAAGAATCTACAAGGGAGAAATGACAAAGGAGTACTTCAAGTGGTAACATCCAGCCAGCACTCAGGATTCTTATCTGAAACATCAAATTTGAAGTGATAATGCAGGGTCACAGGCAGCTAGCAGGGGACATCGTTTGAAGCTGTGCACAGCACTAATGAGGCATTTTAGGACCTCCTGAAAAATATAACCATAATGGAGAAAAAAACCAATATTTATGAATAATTGAGCAGCCTGTGAGCTGGAGAATACACGGAAGGACATGAGAACACACAGCAGTTTGTTGTTGATGTGAACAAAATCAAGAACCAAGCGGGTCAATCACCATCAACAGAACATCAACATTAATGATGGTAACACCAAGAAAATATTGGGCAAATTCTGACTGTTAGTCCCAACAAGAGTAGACCCATGTGAATGAATGGGGGGTTGGTGAGTAAATCTCATTAATGTGTAATGTCTCATTCTGTATGTCCATTCTAGTTGGGAGTAACAACTGGGTTTAAGCCACTGTGTGCGATTGTGCAAACATATTGTACATGCATAGGTGTGCATACAGACACAGACACACAACCACATAAAATGGTAAAATGACATATCCATAATAGCCTATATTCTATGCTATTTTACATACCTACACTCACACATTTATGTTTGTAAACATCCATCTATATTTATATCCAATAAAAGCTACCCTAGTTAGTTAGTAATGTGCCATCAAGTCTGAACCAACTTTTAGCGACCCTAATAGGGATTTCAAGGTAACTGAGATATTTTAAGGCATGGTTTTACCACTGGAACATGCCAATTCTTGCTCCCAGTGAGTTTTCCTGGCAGAGTTAGGAAATTGAACCTGGTGTGCAGAGCCCTAGTCCACCACTCTACCCACTACTCCACACTGGGTAACTAAAAGCTGCCCTAAAAGACAGTTAGCTATTAGGTTAAAGTGCAGACCTACTAAGTGCTATTTTGAAATATGTAGTATCATATAAGGGATGACAGAATTAATCAGGGCCAGTGAAAACAGGAAAGTGCATTAAGCAAGGCAATTCAGGTTAGCTGTTTCCTGGACTGTACCACACCATGATACAGGTAGGGGTGGGGGGACTGTACCATGTTGTGATAGTGAACAGATGACCCAGGAAGTGGGAACCATAAAATCATGCCAAAGAAAGTGCTTAGGCTTCTGTAGCAATTAGAGTGCTTTTATAGGGAATGGCGTAGGGAGAGTTTTCAAAATTGTAACTTTCTCATCCCCACTTGCAGTCTATAGCAGCACAGTTTAGACAGTTTTATCTCCTGCTAGTGCTACAGTAGGTGTCTTTTCCCACCTTCCCTGGGGGCCACTTTACACCACAGATGACCCATCATTAGAAGAAGGCTTTCCTTACATGTTGAAAATTCCTGGACATCCCGGACATTTCCTACACTTCCTTCAGTGGCCAAACCAGCTTGCTTTGTTTTGCAATGGCTCATCAGGAGATAGGCACAGGCATTATTTGCCCGTAGGCCTGCCTGCAGCACATCTGTGGAACACAAGTGGATTTCAGCTGCTAATAAGATGCTATCTGTAATGTATAGTTTGGCCCCAGGCATGACGGATGCCAACATCTTGCCTTTACATTTTCTGGCTCAGGAAGGCTCCTGCACATTCACTTCTCCATGTCCCACTTGGCAAACAAATCCTCATGTATATCTGGACCCCATGACTGCAGGCGCACATACACGACTATGTCGGCCCACGTGACAGGCAGAAAAACATCAATCGGAGGCTAATGAACTTCCCTGACCTCTTTTTTGTGTGGAGGGGGAGGGGGAGGAGGGATTCATCTGCACACTGGTAACAACAACATCCCAGTTCCTTCCCCCATGAGGTCTGGGCAGGGACATCTTTTCCCTAGCTCACCTCCTTGTTAGCCTTGTTGCCAAGGAAACCCAGATTCTGAAATTCAAACCGACACAATAAAAGGTTACTCTAAAAGGGGAACACAAATAAATCTGTATATCATTTGTTTCCCGGAAGGGATATACACAGTGGCGGACCTACAATTTTGGGGCCCTGAAGCTGGAACTGTTATGGGGGCCCCTTCACATCCGTTAAGAAGGTTTGGGTAACCCTGTTATCTTCCTCAATGGGGTTGTTCCATGACAGATCACCACATTTTCTGGTTTTTAATCTGGACCAAAGTCGCTTCTGAGGGCCCCTCTGGGATGAGGGACCCTGATGTTCAAACTTCATTAGTTTCACAGTACATCTGCCCCTGGATCTACAGAAATGAGAAGAAACCAGGAAAAAGGAGAATATTCATTTATTTGCTGCTGTCTCCACAGTGGTAACTGTCTTGCTGTAAGAGGAATGGCTGCTCTTAGGGACTTTCTGCCTATCATTTCCCTTTGACCAGAACCTCTGCCATCAATTTCTAACCATGGGAACTGTACAAACATAGGACATTCTGGAAATACATATCATAGGCTCTAATAGGCCAGGATTAACATGCCATGCCGCCCATTACATTTAATTAACCAATTAGTCTGAGGCAAACAGAGACCATTTTACTGCATAATTAAAGAGCAGGAAAAAGAAAGTGGGAACCATAAGGGAAAAATGTGATTTAACACTCCTAGACTAAATCCAATTGTGGCCCAAACTGGGACAGATACATTGGCATCAATGAGGGTTTATGGTATTATTACTCCAGCTAGATTTTCTTAGATAAAACTTAGATTCAGCCCTTAGAGTTTCAGTGTTTGATACTGTACTGTGTTATAGTTTATATAGTACAATTTCTAATAAAAGGGGGGAAAGCTTTCAAAATGCACACTACATATATATGAAACTCTGATGATGTGGGCTTTAAACTCATGCCGTCATAAAATAGGTTAGGCTTTAAGGTGCCAAAGGATTCTTTACTGTTCCACCTATTTGGAGATGCTTGTTCTTGCAAGTGGTAGAGGGGATACGTCAGAGAAGTTGGATACTGCCATGAATTCATTTCCTCTATCTTGCAGAAAGTGAACCAACTCTTTCTACCGCTATAAAATCAAATGCTTCCTTCCGTCTTTTAATCTTCTTTGTAAGGAACTGGCAGTTCCCTTCACCCTGGTTTCTGAGAACACTGCTTCTCTGCCACATCTCTATCACATGCATCTCAACTAAAAAGGACTGCTGATAGCGCACAGTGCAAGCAAAAATGGAGATGCCTCCACGCCTACTGAAGCCAGGAGGTGGTAAGACATCTCCATTTGCATATGGTACTTGCAGACCGTAGCGTTCCATGCATACAACAGATATATATTTTATAGAGAGATGTCTAAACTCAGTCTACAGCATCGCCAGGTAGGGATGGGAAAGACTCCTGGCATGAAATTTGAAAGAGCCAGTCTGTTTAATCAAATATTGAACTAAGCAGATTAGTGGTCCGGGTAGTGATGAGACAATATCTTATGGCTCCCAGTGGTTTCCCTGTCTCTTCTAATATGGATGACATCACCAACCATAAAACTCTCTCCCTGACTACTTAAAGGTTGTCAGAAATCCTTACACATCTGTACTGGGAACAAAACTAATTATACTGTATCTCCAAATGATCCCGGTAGTGGGGGAGAAGCACATTATGTTATATTGTATGTTATGGATGTTATTCTGATAAGGTGAATAATTTGTTCTTTATAATTTTGCTTGTAGTATATATATTGACTAGATAGGTGGGGTATAAATGAAATATATATATATTTGTATGTGTGTCATTTTTAATTTTTTTAAATTAAATAAAAACAAAAAAACAACACAACTGTATATCAGTACTTGTTCTATGCCATCAAGTCATCCCTGTAGCCGCCTAGAGTGGTCACAATTGACTAGATAGGCGGGGTATAAATGAAATAAATAAAATAAATAAATAAATAGGGTAGCTCTATGGATGAGTGGCCTCTAAAATGTCTTACCATTAGCATCCCTGCTCAGGTCTGGCAAATCCAAGGTTGTGGCTTCCTTTAAGGCATCAATCCATCTTGTATTGGGTCTTCCTCTTTTTCTGCTGTCCCCAACTTCTCCCCACATTATTGTCTTTTTCACAGAGTTTTGTCTTATCATTGTGATGATCACCCCACATCACTCATGCCACTCATAATGATCTAATTTGCATGAGCCTATGAGAGGATTAGAGGGCCGGAGTCAGCAGATATATGAAGGTTTGGCAGGAGGAAGGGGAGTCAGATAGAAAGAGAGAGAGATACAGATAGAGATTGGGATGAGATCCAAAAAGAGTTAAGGACTGGTTAGTTAGAGACAGAAGGAACAGATACTAAGAGAGAGATAAAGCTGGTTAAGAAAATAGGTAGAGAAGGTGGTAATTATATGGCTAGAGAAAAGTATGTACTGAGAGGCCTGTTAATATTTGCTTGTCTACAATGTTCATCTGAAGAACTTCTATGATTATTAAATTTGCTTCACTTCAATAAATAAGGTTTTTTTGCATTCACAAGACAAGGGTTTTGACCAACGTCATTTATATTGTGGATTGAGGTAATCCACTGGTGGCAGTGAGAGGAAAACACGACTAGAGCCTTTGTGAGGGCACAACACACAGGTGCCACAAGGCTGAATGCCACAATCATGAGGTGGCCAAAGCATGAAAGGCTCAGTTTTATCATTTTTGCTTCTAGAGAGTCACAATCATGAGGTGGCCAAAGTATGACAGTCTCGGTTTTATCACTTTTGCTTCCAGAGAGCGCCATCAGCACTAATGAAACTGATAGTAAGTTTCCTACTTCCATGGCCATCAGCACTATTGAAACTGATAGTAAGTTTCCTACTTCCATGAATCTGATAAAGCGAATTGCAATGCAGAAAAGAATATGCCAGACAAGGAGTGCTTGTTTTTAAGGTACCACTATTTTCTTTTTTTTCTAGGACAGACTAAGACCGGTATCCTGCTGGAACCTACACCTTTCTTAAGGTCACCTGAAGAGATTATGCCTCTCAGTAAAATGAAGGCATTTTACTGAGAAGCAAAGGACTTTCAAATTTTGCCCACTCAGGCGGGCTACTCCATCTTCCAGCACAGGATTCTAAGGTGGCTTTCTAGTCAAGTTTGTGGATCTGTCAGAGCTAGATCACAAAGTGCTATTTCTGTAGGCCTTCACACTAAGTCCTTACCCAAAATATTCCCCACTTCGGCTATAAAGTCATGCATCACTACCTGCGTCACAGGAACAAATTCCATAAACCAGCCAATCAAGGATGCAGCCCTCTGGCACAGCATCTTAAACTCAAGTATTTTCCTTTGCTAAGTGAGTGTCTCCTTATTTATTTCAGATAGCCAGACAGTAGAAGAATCATTCCCTTAAGTGTTTATTGTGTGTGATTGCCTCTGTTGTACCTTTTGACCTCAGACAAGGAAGATGGTCTCCTGAATACAGTATTAACATGGTAACAATTTTAATGATGGATTATAGACTGTGACGCCTCACTTGGTCCTCAGACTAGCAGTGAGCTGAAGCAAACAGAGGATGACTGGGTCTGTGCAGCTAATCGTATAAGAGACTAGAATGTACGTCAATAGGACTTAAGCATGATTCAACTCAGGAGCCAGTTCTGGAAAAGCAAACGTCTAATGTGCCATGTACTAAAATATTGTTTCCCAGTTCTTGAGGGCAGCATTCCCAGAACTCATGGCAACTCAATTACTCTTCACCGCAATAATATATTTGGAATAAGAAGGATGGATGAATGTCGGAAAGAATTCCACAGCAAGAAATAGGCATGAAGGCTCTTTACAAGGCCAGATACTGACACAATGTTGTTTTCGGACATGTGATACCAGGTTCAGATTAGACACCTTGATGAGTGATCAAAGGCAGTAAGGAGGCAGGAGCAAAATACAGAACAAACAAGCCCTGACAAAGAGTGGGTGGTGATGCTCTGTGTTTCCCAGTCGTTCCCACCAAGTCACTATTCTTGGGAATGTAAAAGTCAGAGGCTGGACACTCACATTGCTAGACCTTGGGGAATGAAGCTAAATCAGAGAAAGTCAGGGCACATCCATTTGGGGGAGGTTGGAGCAATCTGGCCCATCCTTCTGTTCACAATGATCAAAGTTTTTCTCCTGTGAGAAGCGTTCAGACTGGTCTTTGGATTACCCCAATTTTTCCCCTTTTGAGTAATGACAGACCCCTTCCTGCCCCCTTGTCTTGCCTTTTCTTGTGGCCGTCATTCAGCAGGTCACTTGTTAAATAAAGTGACATAACGAAACAGCAATGCATTTTCCTAGCATGGTGCACATAATACCACCATTGTATCTCATTTATCTAAAATAGTGCTGTATCAATGAGACTCTGTGTGTGTGTGTGTGTGTGTGAGAGAGAGAGGGGGGGATAAAAATAGAGGTGGGGTGTTTCTCCATCATCCCTTTAAAAGCCACAATCCACAGAATACATAATAGGATTGTCACCTCAGATAACATCACCCACAGCTCTACAGTATTTTGGTGCAGACTATCCATCCACACCGGCTACAGGATGAGCTAATTAGGAATCCTCCAAATATGGATCATACAGAATACATAATAGGACATAATAATATCTGTCACCTCAGATAACATCGCCCACAGCTCTATTTTGGTGCAGACTATCCATCCACACCAGCTACAGGATGGGCTAATTAGGAATCCTCCAAATATGGATCAAGACGGATTGCTCTAAGTCAAAACCTGGGTGGACACCATAATTTGATTTGAACCAAAGAGCACCAAAAGCGATCCAAATAGTGAGCTATGTATACCTGTCTGGAGGTGGTCTTAAGCACATCCCTCCAGGCCATATTTGCTGCCTAAAGCCCTCTCCTCCTCAAGCTCACCTGCCAAAAATATAATAATAA